AGGACTTAACACAAAAAGACCTAGGGATTAATTGGCAAAATACACAAAAAATACACATTAGACCTAGACCTATACATAGGAGAAGGAACGCCTAAATCAGGAGGGGAGAAAAAATAACGCCTGGAAATACACTCTGCAAAAGCTGAGCGCCGCAGACCAAAAAGAGACCCCCCCCCCTTGCGCGTCGTCTTCTCCAAACGACCCTAGCTCTCTTCTGCTGGAACAAAAACACAGACCCTCCCGTCCGTCCTGCTTCTTCACTATCTTCATTAACAAAAACACACAGGGATTAAAGGGGAAGCAGCAGCCGAATGCTCCGACCTCAAATCAGCGACTCCATCCGCCGTCGCTGCCATCTCCGGCAAGCTGGCTGGCGAGTCGTCGAGCTTCAACACCTCCATAATCAACCATAGGAACCCATCACCCAAGAGCTCCTTTAATATCTTTTTCCGGCAAGTCTCAAGTTTCTGATTGAGTTTGAAGCTCGTTCGAATTCGTCGTCGTCCGTTCGTCGCCGTCCGTGGTTCTGTTTGGACTTTGGGAAATCTATGTTAATCAGTTTTCTGTCGTCGTTTCTTCTTGTTCTAGTCAAGCTTTTCGTCGCCGACGTCATTGTTGTTCGAGTCTCTAATCAGTTGCACAAGTGAGTATGTTGTACCTCTGCTTTTATATATATGAGAAACATGATGCGATGTTATGCCTAAAGTGATATCAATAGCAGGTTACTGTGGTTTTGCTTGATGAAAGCCATTTGTGAATTGTTGCTTTTATCCAGTTACAGCATGAACATATGCACATACGATATAAATTTTTATGGATTTTGGTATTTAGCTAGATCTTTGGTTTACGCGTGCAATCTGTGTAGGACTTTAATGTTGTTATTTGAGTTATTCTTCTCTACTCATTGTTGTTAATTTGTTATCAATAAGTGGATGTATAGAAAGATGTTTTGGTGCTAGCTGTTAGCTTTAGGTGACAATGGACGGTGAGTTGAGAGTTAGGACGAGAGAGTGATAATATGATGTTAATATGGATGTAGCTGAATTTAGGAAATCTTGTGGGGGGCGGCTGATCTTATTTTGGGGCGTGGATTTTTTTGTCTTGGTTAGGTTTTAGGTCTAGGAATTGAAATTTCGATCAAACTTTCTTATTAATAAAGTTGGTTTTCATAGGCCGCTAGTTTAAATTTAGTTCATATAATCGAGGTGTGCCATTTGCGAATTTTTCGTGGCCCTCGCAAACTTGAAACGCGTAGTCTCTTTAGGCGCGTTATTTTAATAATTTACCTTCCTAAACTCGGGTGCGCATTTATGTGACCCAAATCCAAATCTCAACAATGTTAGATAAAATATATCGGGGACCGCGGGTGCATTTATGTGACGTGGTTCAAGACGTATTTTAAATGACGTTGCAATCTTCCTTAAAAATGATTAAAAGCGGTTAATAAGTTGTATCATAGGTTAAAACATGTACTAAAATCATATAACAGGCCAATTATAACAGTTGAGCGACCGTGCTAGAACCACGGAACTCGAGAATGCCTAACACCTTCTCCCAGGTTAACAAAATTCCTTACCCGGATTTCTATGTTCGCGGATTGTAATACAGAGTCAATCTTTTCCTCGATTCGGGATTTGAACCGGTGACTTGGGATACCATAAATTATCCCAAGTGGCGACTCTGAATCTTTAAATAAATAAATCTCGTTTCGATTGTCACTTCAAGTTGGAAATAACTCCCTTATCTACCCCTTTCCGGGGGTGTAGGTAAAAACAAGGTGTGACACTGGGGAGGAGGGACATCCTCCTCTCGGGTATCTGCAGCCGGTAAGGGTGATGTAGCAGTTGCTGGTGACGAAAGTATGACCGGCGTGGAAGGAGATGAAGCTATTGGTGTTGTGGGTTGAGAAGCAGTTGCAACAAAGGGAATGTTGGTTGTATGTTGCTCATCAACTGAAGACGGAAGAGATCGAGTACTCAGCCTCATAGTACCGGGAGTAGCTGGGACTCGAAAAGGAGAATTGGCATTCTCCACTAAGTCATACTCTCCCCAGAGCGCTTGGCATCGTCCTTGGTTGGGGCTATAAGCTCTTCAGATTGATCATTCTATTGAGATGATGAAGGTCGTTGTCTCCTTTATACGGAATCCCCTTCATCATTGACTTCCCCATCAACATCAATCACCATAGTGACTGCGGTTGGCTCGGGCGCAGCTTTTTTCACCTTTTTATTTTTGCCCTCGGCCGAGGAAGAGCACCGCCTTTTTGGTTGCTTGCTCTCTGGCTGGGGACTCCGAGAGGAAGCACTTGCACCGGAAGCGGATCGGATGGCGCCTATTCGGGTGAAGGCCTCCTTCAACAACCTTGCAGCCTCTGTGTGATCAACCAAAACATCCTCATCAGGTATGGTAACAAAACCCTGCGGAAGACCTGAATTCAACGAAAAAAGAAGTTAACCAATTTTCTTATACAAAATAAAATAAAATGAGATAAGGACAAGATCAATATCACGAGTCAACTTACCATGATTTTTGTCTTCCACTAGTATTTTGGGGCAAGTTCTTTCCACTGGCGGGTCTCAGGCGTGGTAATATACTGAATCTTCTGAAGCCACTGGTCTAAACCTTCAACCTTTGGTGGTGTCCATAGAGTTGTTGAAATAATGAAAAGAGAAGGATCAGTAACAATATAAAACAACTTTAAAGAAAAGACAGACTTTGAACTTACGTGTACGAGTCCAGGACTAAGGAAAGGACGAAGTTGTGGCCGAGATGATATCCCTAGTGGTAACAATAACAAACCGCTCCATTCAACCATGGTCGTTGTCGCTATCCATGCTGGTAAGCAAAGCATGGTTACCACGTCTGCTAAAGTTTATTACTCCCCCACGGAAAATCTTGGGGGACTAAAGGTTCATCATGCGAGCCAAGGTGAGCTCTTCCTGTGTCTCCTGGCACAGCCGCCGTAGACAGGCTACCGTTCGACAAATTGAAGGGCCCACCTGTGCCAAAAAAATCTGGTATTTGAGGCACAACTCCAAAATTACGGGGTCAATTCCCCTGCTCAAAGAAAACGCACCCAAAGTAAATGGGTACGTATAAACGTACATGAAGCCCTTCTTAGGAAAGGTTACTCGCTCCACCAATTCGGAAGCGATGATGTTTAGATCATGGCAACCACAATCCTCCTTCACAGTAGGAATGCTGGAAGGACGGATGGAAGAAGGGTATACGCCAACAGCCCATGTACGAGAACTTGTAGAAGGAAACTTCTCTTCGAAGTCCTTGGCTGTGTTGAGTCTTCTAGAATGATGGTGCTCACCGTAGAAGGGCCAGCATTAACGGGTTTTTCTTTATTTTTGAGAGAACCTGAGTTCTTGGAAGAAGAAGCCATGATCAGTAGAAGGTAATAAGAGTTCTTTGAAGAATAAGATTAAAGAAAAGTGAAAGCAAGAAAGAGTTGAATGCAAAGAAGGTGAGAGAGTTTGTAGAACTGTAAAGAGTAAAAGAAGAAGAATGAGGCATATAAGTAAAGAAATAGTCGGCTAAAATCGTGTCCATGATTACATCGAGAACCTGCAAAAATATTGCTAAATCGTGGAGTAACGCGTGTTCGGAGTATTAAATGCGGAGAGACGTACGTTTAATCAACCGTCAGAAACTTTTCAGAAGGGATCAGAAAATTTCCTGCCAAGAAAGAAATCTTCACCAACTTCCCGATGACACAAAGATGTGCGACCGAAAAGCAGGGGGACTATCTGTATAGGGTAAAATTGGTTCATATTAAATTCTCGAATAACAGAGCGCCACGTGGAACCGGAGATAAACGGAAGACGAAGCAAGTAAAAACCAAGACCGAGGACAGCAGCTTCAGTTGGCACCGGATAGACCCCGAAGGGAACATTGCTAACGAGGACAAATGAATATCTGCCACCCAATGACATCAATGAAGAATATTTCTCAGTATTAAATACACAATCCGTTACAGAGAATTTTGGCATTCATAGCATGCCGTTATATATTCATCAATGGCCCCCATAATTGTCATTTAAGAGAGGCTTGATCCTAGGACCTTGTTCCCTAGGTGTAGTTATAAATAGTGACTTCAACAGCCACTGTAGGACACGATTTTTCTGACCAACTTATGCTACACATTATTCCAAGCTAAATAATTCTTTATTTTCTGTCTATCAATATTCTCATTGTTGTCTTTGGAAGCCTGCTCCCGGAACCAAGTTTTTTGCTATCTTATCTCAATTTCAACGCTAAGTCTCGCATTTTATTTAATTTATTTAGCATTTTAGGATCAAATCGATTCGCTTGTCTATAAATCACGCTATAAAGACAACTGTACCGTTTTACAGGTAAACAGTCATTACGGACCTTTCCCAAATTTATTCAACATTTAAACTCACAATTCGATTCCCGGGACAGGAAAATCTTACTTGGCCAAGCTGTTGCTACTGAGTCAGAATCCACTTTTTTCAGGTATTATGTCCTCCTTTTGTTATCTAGAGGTTTTGGTACATATCCCCTCCTTTTTTGTATAATGTTATTCAATAATAGACAGGATAGGGGTTCATGCCAAACCCCCTGCCACTTCAAGGCTGAGTTAAATTAAAAAAAGAAAAAGAAGATGTCCTCATGTGCAGTTATTCTTATTATTAACCCTCTATTTCACTGTACACATTGCCTGGAAAAATACACTGGTTAATTAATTGTGTGGTTTTCAAGTGAAAGAGCTAACAAATGTTTTAAAAAAAATTTACTCCTATAGTTACATAGACTTGACACAGCATTTGGTTTGACAAAAAATTCTATTTTACATTTGGTAAACACAAATTTGAATTTATTATACCAATAACTTCAAAGGGTCAACGATAATCAAATTATGAAGTTTTAGCTTGCAAGCAATCATTTCCAACTGACATGAAGATCCCTATTTTTGTAATTAATAAGAATAAAAGGGATGCTCTTAGAGTTGAACCTGCGGCCATGTTCCCCTATCGTATGAGTCATGAGGCTAGATTTTTGTTATATGAAATATTCATTTTTAACTATAAGAGCGTCCCCTATCTCACAATTCCATTCCTTCAATCCTCTCTTTATACCTCTAGTCCAACCCCTATTTCAAGGATTTCAGTTGCAAATCCACACTCAGAACTTCGCAAAAGTGCACCCTAAGCTGCAAAAGATGCATAAAAACTTCAATCTTTCCAGTTCTGACCATCCAATAAGTTCCTAGGCTTTCTTTTTCTACTAATCAGATTTTATAAATTGAATAATTCGTACGTGATTGAAGATGTATAGCAATTTCAAGGCACAAGCGATTGAATATGTGAAGCAAGCAGTGCAAGAAGATAAAGTTGGTAACTACGAAAAAGCATTTCCTCTTTACATGAACGCTTTGGAGTACTTTAAGGCCCATTTAAAGTACGAGAAGGACCCTAAGATTAAGGAGGCCATTATGCATAAATTTGGCGAGTATTTGCGCCGGACGGAAGAGATCCGAGTCGTGTTGGATAAGGGTGGGAGTGGGCTGGGTCTGAATGGAGGGGATGCAGATGCGGCTACCAGGCCCAATGATGAAGAAGATGGTGATGATCCTGAACAGTCAAAGTTGAGGTCTGCGCTTGATTGTGAGATTATCAGGTAAAAATTTAATGGGGTGACCTGTTTCCACCCTACTAATTAAGCTATACTCAATTTCTAATTAGATTTGTACTAGTAATAAATTTTCTTATATGATCGAAGATGTATAGAAACTTTAAGCAGAAAGCGATTGAGTATGTGAAGGAAGCAGTGCAAGAAGACAATGCTAAAGCATTTCCTCTTTACATGAATGCTTTGGGGTACTTCAAGACCTATTTAAAGTACGAGAATAACCCTAAGATTAAGATGGCCATTATTCCGAAATTTAACGAGTATTTGAACCGGGCGGAGGAGATCCGAGCCGTGTTGGATGAGGATAGTGGTGGGCCGGGTCCGAGTGGAGGGAATGCGATTGTGACTACCAGGCCCAAGATGAAGCCCGAAGATGGAGTAGATGGTGAGGATCCTAAGTAGTCCAAATTGGGGACTGGGCTTAACTCCGCAATTTTTAGGTAAACATCCAAGGACAAGTTACATATTTGTTCGGTCGGTCAATACATCCACTAGCTAAATATGCATTAATTACGTGTGTGTATGTATATATATATATGTAAATTAATAGCTACGCAGTGTAGTTTTCTCAATGAGGGTTACTAACTAAGTTTTCGCATGCTATTTAAGTAATATCCAATTTTTCAAAATCATTTAACTTGTAATCAGCATTAACAAACTTCACATAAAATGCTTCGTCTTCTTCTCCTTCAAACTCTTCCTAAAAATTCATGGTTGTTTGTCTATAATACAGGAATAAAGATTTTTAACGAGTTGTTGGTCAACATCGTGCTTTAGTCAAAGCAGATCAGTAGAGTGAAGACAGCCAAATATTGTCAGATCATGCCTCTACTTTTTGGTTACCGCTTGAATGGTTTGTATTGTATTGTATTATATTATTTTAAAAATATTTATTTTAATTGATACTTAACTTTTATTGTATATTATCAAATCCGTTGTTACATGTAACAGTAAAATAATTTATTTTATGTAACAACCGATTTGGTGTGGTTGGATCTCTTATTATGCCCTTATATTTTATAATCCCATTTTTTCCTTTACCTTAAACTGAAATACGGCCCAACTAATACTATTCAATTTTTTTTTTTTTAACTAAATTTCATGTACATACAAGGTTATACGTGTTTTAAAATTACTTGTCTATTGAAAATATAGAAATACATTTGTGTGGCTACTTGTAATTGAAGTTTCAAAATTTGGAGGAGATATAAGGCAACAGAGTAGAAGCCTACATAGTTGGGGAGAGGGTTGGTCATAGCAGTAGTCGGTAGAAGATGATAGATTATGGAGGGGCTTTTTCTTTAGGGAATTATTGACTCTGTTACTGATTTGACTAAACTATGTCTTTGAAAAAATAATGGAATTTTTAATTCCATAAGCAGTGAAAGAAATAGATCATACGCAGGAACAAGCCAACTATGATGATGAAAATGCATAAAAGTGGTATCAACATCCCCAGAATTGTAATGTCCACATTAAAAAAATTTCATTAGATGAGTCCAAAAGTGACTGAAAATTTCATTGATATGAAAAAATTATATCATCCAAAAGTTATTCGATGATTAAATGAGGCACTAAACCAAAAAGTCAAATCAAACCGATTAAAAAAATCCGATTAGGTTTAGTTTGATTTCGTTTGGTATTGAGTAAAAAAATCTAAAAAACCAAACCGACATATAAATATGTAATTTTTGTATATATTTTTAGAACTTATATAAATTTTCTTTAAAAAATATCAAGAAATATTTGTGATTCTCTCATGGTATGTACGTATTTAATAGAAATATGAAATGCATCCATTTTTATCGAAAGAATCAACACTTCCCGATGCGGAAAAGAGAAGAAAACCTATGGATAATGCTTCTGGTGTTAAGGGAAAGGAGGTCGATACAGGAAATAGCTCGGATACACGAGACGAAAAGGTAATTGTTGATGTATCTATATGTATTTGAGTCCTCATACATTGAGTATTACCTTCTCTAATGGATTTCTCTTATTGTATTTTATTGTATTTATATGTGTGCAATAGTGGATACATTGCTTTCTCTTCTTTTACGTTGATATGGTATACATGTATGTTGATGTATTCATAAGTATTCAAAAGTGCATTCACTGAATTGTACCTTTTCAGTGACTTTTGCATATTGTATGTAGATGTATTTATATGTATTCAAAAGTACCTTAACTGATTTGTAATTATCCCAGTGTCTTTTGCATATTGTATTTATATGTGTTTAGATGTATTCCAAAAGTTCATTAACTGATTTATACTTATTACAGTGCCTTTTGCATATTGTATTTAGATGTATTTTGATGTATTCAAAAGTTCATTCAAAACATGAATGAGTTATGTATTGCAAAAGATTTATGAATTTTTTTGTAATTTTTGTTGTATGTAGGAAATAAAACTATTTGTGAAACACCCACTTATTTTATCACCGCATATAAGTTCCTACACTAACACGGACATAGTATCTGACATCAATGAAAAACTTACTCCAGAACAGTACAAAATATTTGGTACTAATTATTTTGGAAGTTTCCTTGATATGGAGCGTTGTGATGTCTAACATCAATTGTTCAAGTGCTTCATGGTTCTGCAGCTGGAAGGAACTCATGATGATTCATTTTCAACATACGTCAATGGTACAACATTATCCTTTTCAATCAGGGAGTTTTCGCTTGTCACTGGTCTCAATTGTGTTGGTGACCCTGAAGATTTTCAGTATAACACAAAGGTGCCTGACAGGATTGTTGATACATACTTTGGCGGTGCAAAGAATGTCAAGAAGAAAGATTTGTTGAAATGCTTTGATGACACCGGGTCATGACAACGATGAGGATGCCATCAAAATATAAATCAATAGTTAATTCAAACATCTATCTATCTATAATTAAAAGGAGAAGAAAAAGCATTCTCACTTAGCCAAGTGGCATCACCAAAATATACCACTTGGCACTTTAGGACAGTCCTCCAAAACAATAGGAGCTATAAAATTATTTGAAAAAAAAAAAAAACTCCTTCACAATTTCAGATTTCTTTATTTTTAAAATATTAAATATTTCTTTATTTATAAAAGATTAACTGATTTTAAAACACCTTTTTTTTCTCTTTAACGTTGAACATGGAAGAGCCGAACTTTTTTTTTTAATAGAGCTTTATTGAGTTAAATATTACTTAAGTAAAACGGCATTAAAATACAAATACCCTATTTTAACCGAAAAAAGAGGCACAGTTATTTCCTCTGCCAAAAAGAGGCGTCATATATCATCAACTGCACTTTCTTCAACATACGGCTTTACAACTTCTCACACAAAAAATCAGTTTCTAAGCAGTTTGACATGGAAGAAGAGAAGAAACTGGCAAGAAAAAATAAAATATGCAAGCAAAAACGACCTAAACACTCCTCACAATGGTATGAACGTTTAATATTATTTGCAGATTTGCAATATAAAATCATATACAATATTGTTCTACGAACAGTAAAAACTGATGATCAAGACATATGAGAAGAGATAAATATGATTGTTATGCAGTCTCTTTATTCTACTACAGTTGTCTTGTGTTTTTTTTTTTTTTTGGCGTAAATTAGATTTACCTGCTGTTAACCTGATTTATTTTATACTTGCCTGTTTATTCTGCCCAAAAGCTCTGATTACGTCCTTAAGTTTGCTTAACATACATATGTTAATTCTACTTTGGCTTATAAGTTAAGTTAATTTTTATGTGTTTTACTGCAATTATTGTTTGAGGTACGATATGGACGTTTCCTTAGAACCCATCCAATTAAATTTTTGCTACATTGATCATCTTGCTTTGGGTCATTCTTCACCAGTAGAGTTATTGAGTTCCTTTCAGAGTTGGACTTTGAATTTTGCAACTACACTTTCCACCACCGCAAAGTTCTTGCTCATTTCAAATTAATCGTCATGTTGGTTACAGAATTGTGGTGTTTAAATTAACTTAATTGAACTGGCAATTTCACAAGATGTGGTCGCTTAAAGTTGTTGACTTTGCTCAATTTTTTTTATTAAGATTTATATCTATATCAGTTCAAAATCAGAAAAAACCACACACAAAAAATTCCTGGGTACTTTAATGGAAAATTGTCGTGAGGTGCGCAAGCTGAGGTTGATTAGGTTAGTTATATTATTTAGAGACAAAAGAAACTTAACTTGAGTGATTACAAAACTATTATATACATTAATGGGAATTTTTTTGTTGGTTTTTTTGTTGCCAATTTGCTGTTCGTTTAGGGGCAAAAGTTGCATACATTATATTACACAAAAATAAAAACAGAAGAAAAAGTGAAAAGGATAAATGGGTATACAAGTTTTGTCCAAGAAGTATAGTGAGCGTGTAACAAAATGATGGACATACTAAACTAGCTGTTGTGGTTATTGTTTGGGAAATAACTTAGTTCATCAAAAATGAAAACTTTAAATACGAAACAAATTGACCTTACAGATTTGGGGAGTAATAGTGCGCTTATTTTGTTGGCATTGATTTAATAGTTTGTTTGATCTCCCTTCATGTTCTGAGAGTGGATTACTTTTTAGCCATGTTTTGTTAGAATAATATATTAAGTCTATGGATAACTACTTTCACGCCCAATAACTGATGCTATTCTTTTTTGTTCATATCTTCTATCAAATTCTAAAATTATAGACATACCCAATAAGGTATGGGCTAAATATAGCATCTTTTACTTTGAACGCATTTTGCTTTGTGAACATATGATTATATTTACAACACGTGTTTTCATCACATCCTTTATTGGTTTGATAGTTTCCCCGAGTTTTCTACTTCTAACATTAAGCTATTTTTTGTTTTGTTTTATCATTACAGACTCTGTTGATCCTGCTTCTATAAAGCGTTGTGGATATGTTTAATCGTCTCAGTTTGAGCCACAATATCCACATTCACCACAAAGCACAAGATATTCCATATGCATTGTCAACTTCAAAGTTCAAATGTGCACGGTTTGAGCCACAATATCCACATTCACCACAAAGCACAAGATTTTCCATATGGATTGTCGACTTCAAATGTGCATACAGATCATCATCTACTGGATTTGAATGAGCTACCCTTAATGCAAGGTTATTATTTCAGTTAACTTTATCATATAACACGAGTCGGTGATAAATATTTTATGCATATTATTATAACTTATAGTTACAAATTAAGGATGTCAAATTAGAGCAATGTTGTACCGGCACTACACATAAATAATGAGTTAATAAATTTAAATACTCATACATGTCTAGCAAATACAATGGAGATTTAACATTGTTAAACAGTTGTCAAATTCAGTTTCTGCGGCACTTTCACATGGCAGAACAGAAGAAACGCACGAGAAAAAATATTATTTGCATCCAAAACCAAAATCAAACCCATATTCTTGGATAAAAAAGGTAAGAACACTGATCAATATTTACAGATTTGAAAAATAAAAAATCCATTGAATAAGTGCTACGAGATGAAAAGGTATTAAATATTTGTATTTACACGTGTCTATTTATTCTGTTATTTTGACCATCCGATAATCCTAACTATAAATGTAAATAATTTTAAAACATGAGTTTTTGTACAGTTATTTCAACAACTATATGCAACTTTGTTGTGTTACTAAATCGTTTCGGTTCACTATTTGTTCGTTTTAAAGCTGCATTACTTTGTCTATTTTATATATATTTTTGTAAAAATTGTGTTCTATATGTATGTATTTTCTGATCTTCTAACCTTACAAGGAGCTTATACATTATTTATCATTTGTTAATGATCTTCCTTGCAACAATGTATATCTACAATATGATGTTATATATAAAATTTTAAAAAAATTATGCCATCTATGTTTATATCTCTGCTCTGTTTATCATCTACGTGAAACAACAGCAGAAAATAATGATGTAACCGAAGATGAAGATGAGTAATTAAGGTATGTCTATATTGACACAAACAATGATTCATTTATGTCCAATATTTCAATTTATATGGCTAATTTAATATATGATTTTAATTTACTATATATGTAGATGTTGATGTATATACAAGTATTGACAATGAAGGTATGGATCTTTTATTATATATATATATATATATATATATATATATATATATACCAATAAGTAGGCATGCCATAACTTAACACCTGGACATTAATCTTCATTTGCTTCTTACATTTACATTTACTTCTTTCATACAGTAATAGGAGCTTACGAACTTTTATTCAGATAAGCAACATTCTGCAGATTAGTCTCCACAACATTAATCTCATCAGTGAGCTCTTTCCGAAGAGCTGACATTCCTGCATGAATTATATATTTGGTATTCAGTTACACTTTTAATTATTACATAGCTGTGGTACCATTTTGGTGTGTTATTAGAAAAGCATGACGATAGCTTTCTAGATTCTAAGATCAACTATATGTTTGTCATGGAACAAATAGTATACACTTTATATAGTTGAATCAATAAGCAAGATTTCATAGTGACAATTTTTTATGCAGAAATTTTCTCTATCACAATTGGAAGTAAATTGTCTCATGGCCATCAAGTGCTTACTAATCGGCCTATTCTTTTGGATGAAGTGAATACCAGTATCATTCTCACATTCAAGGTATACTGTTTGTCAAATTTGGTTCAACCATTTTCAATTTTTGTCGAGTCATAAATGTAGCATTCACTAATGAGTAAAAAAAATTAAATGTCATGGTCTATCAAAGGTTAAAATAGGTTTAGCTTTTACGTAGCAATTTAAGGTTTATTTGAACCAGTGATTGGCAATTGTCATTTTAAAATTTTATGTGAACCACTGATTAGCTTAAGGATATGAGGCAACAGTCAAAATGAAAGCAGCGGAGGCTCGAAAAAGGAGTTGCAACACCAGGCGCAGCACCACAAGTGATCAAATCTCTACGGTAACAGTCATTTTCAAGCAATTCTAAGTCAGTTGTGATACTTGCAGAAGCCACACTGACCAAGGGTGCTTGCTAAGCAAGCACCAAGCTGAACTTTAGGAAAACTACGACTCCCTCCGTTCCAATTTATGTGAACCTGTTTGACTTGGCACGTTGTTTAAGAAAAAATAAAGACTTTTGGAATTTGTGGTCCTAAACAAGTTAAAAAGGGGCCCAGAGTATTTGTGTGGTTATAAAAGCTTCTCATTAAGGGTAGAATTGTAAGTTTAAACTAAATTGCTTTCAAATTTAGAAAGGGGTCATTATTTTTGGAACGGACTAAAAAGAAAATAGCTTCACATAAACTGGAACGGAGGGAGTATATGTTCATATATCTAAAGGACTTCTCATGATATTTAGACTTCTTAATTTGGCTTTGATGTTTCAATATTCAAGGGTCATATAGAAGAGGTATACACCTATTTGTATTTCCTTTTCCCTTGATCCTTCTTTTCTAAAGTAAATCAGTCTACAAACTCATGAGACCAAAAACTTCAATGGAAACAGCATGTCTTGAGTAAAATAATAATATATCTCTGCAGACATGTCGATACCATGATCTGTCGGTGCTATTGGAAAGAGAACTTCTGGAACCACAATATATACAACCGCATAGTTCAGATTCTTTGTACATTTATATATATATGCTTTTGAATTCACTTATAGTATTCATATATTATACTTTTCACAGCTTTGTCTTTCCTAACTAAAAAATCAAATCTCTCTATACAGATATCGAAATCACGATCCACTTGTGTCGTTGGAAAGAGGACTTCTACATTTGCAATATATAAAAAAATCCAGGTCTAAATTATTTGTATATTTAAACAGATATTCTTTTGAGCTCAGTTCTAAATTTCTATCATTATGATTTTTCCAGGTTTGCGCGACTATACTAAACAATTTTTTTTGTCTTTGCAGGAACGTCGAAATCACGATCCGCTTGTGCCATTCGTAAAAAGAATTATGGAACTACAATATATAAATATTAAGGTCCTAATTCTTTGTAGATTAATATAGATATGCTTTTTAATTCAGTTATGAATTTTTGAAATTCTACTTTTCACATCTTTAAGCATTATGACTAAAAAGATCACATCTATCTGCACACAAGTCGAATAGATAATCTACTTGTGCCGTTGGAAAGAGGACTTCATAACTACAATATATACATCAAGTCCAAATTATTTGTATATTTATAAATATATCCTTTTAACTCGGTTATGAATTTCTGTTATTCTGTTTTTCACAGCTTCACGCGCCCTGTCTAAAGTATTTATATTTCTCTGCAGGCATATCAAAATCATAATCCGCTTTTGCCGTTTGAAAGAGAATTCTAGCACTACAATATATGCAAAAATTAGGCCAGATCCTTCGTAGATTTGTCTTATTTATTCGGTAATATCCATCTTTCTTCAAAAAAACTGTTTTGTGGTTATTTTGTATTTACTGTGATTGAACTAATTAAACTTTAGCAGTATCACGATGGTTCACATATCAAGTGTAACAACCAAAAATTATTAAGTGTCAGATGTTAAGACAAACCTCCTACAAATTTGGAGATTCAAAAATTATTTTTAAAATTATATTACAAAAAGAAAGTAGCAGATAAAAATATTAAATAAAGTAATATGCTCATAAGAATTTCTATTAACAATGTAATAAAACTAAAAATTGGATAATATAATAAAGAAATATACAGAACAAAAAAGTTATTCGATGACTATATAAGTCCCTTCAATTTGATAGAAATTATATTCATTAAAATTCAGAAAATATTATTGAGAACAATAAAAAATATTTTGTGAATAATAAAATATACGATAAAATATTACAACAACAACATACCCCGTATAATTTCACAAGTGGGATTTGGGGAGGGTAGTGTGTACGTAGACCTTACCCTTACCTGGCAAGGTAGATATCCGATTAAATATTAAACAAAGTAATACGCTAATAAAAATTTCTATTAACAATGCAATAATACTAAACATTTGATACTATAATGAAGAAAAATACAGAACAAAAAAATTATCCGGTGACTATATAAATTCCTTTAATTTAATAAAGATTTTATTATTAGGTATATCGTATTGACTATTATTAGGTATATCGTATTGACAATTATTAGGTATATCGTATTGACAAATAAGATGATAATTGAAACTTATCAAATCAATATGATCTAATGTTCAAACAAGCCCGATCATAATGTAATTTAATTAATATTTTTAAAATATTGACCGCGCATCGCGCGGGTACAACTACTAGTTAGTTTGAATAGTAGAAACATATTTTAGCTAGGAGCACAAAATGTAGTTCGCCTTCATTAGGTCCCACACTAAAACTAATGCATTACAATAGATCGTTAAATTTTAATTGATCTCAAACTCTTTTATTAGGCAAAAATATACAATATTTCATATTATGATTTTATTTAGCATAAATTTATGGATGTGTGACTTATCAAGAACAGCGCCGGAAGAGAATTCTTACATTGACAAAGAAGGGAAACTTCAGTTATCTTCATGAATAGTAATGCTTGAACAATTTCGATTCTTGGCCTAAATTTAATTTTCTTTCCACAAGATCTATTTTTATAAGTTGTAAAATTTAAGCTTGAATTTGTTGAAAAGAAAGTTAAGCTTAAATATGAAATTTATACAAATTAAAATCTCAAAAGTTAAATGAAGAAAGACAAAAACCTCAAATTTGAAGGAATTTAATAAATATCTTAAAAGCAAGGAAGGGCTAAACAACATATTGGATACCTACATGGGATTTATGTTAACGAATACTAAAAAAAAGGTTTCGAAAATATATTGGATGCCTCTAATATTCATTCACAATGTTGTTATGTCTCTTAACTAACCAAAAAGAAAGGAATTATGAAAAAAATTATGTAAGAAATTATAGTCATGTTACATAATATAGTTAATGATGAATTTATATAACGTAGAATATTAATAAATTTTAAGTCCTAAATATTAGGTTCCATACGCATACCCTAAACTTGAGGTAAAAGTGCTCGAGATTTTTACCATAAAAATAAAAAATTCCTAAACCTACATCAAGGTGTGCTCGAAAGTTTTACCTAAAATATTTATAAATAATTAATAACTTTTGTACCTAACATAATTATAAAGAATTAGTAATATTTTTCTTACAAGGAATTGATCGGTTAATTTTTTCTTAAAAAAGATTCCTAAACTAAAAAAGAGGTCAAAGCACTCAAAGTTTTTATAACTTATAGCAAATAAAAAAAAACTCCTAAACCTAATAGAAATTGAAAGTACTCAAAACTTTTACCTAAATTACCTATTTTTTAAAAAGAATTAATTGTTGAATCTTCAATGTATGACAAACAAAAGGACTCCCACAGCGTAAAAGCAGTAAACGACTTTTTGAAAGACGTCACAAAATATTGTGATTTTTCATTGTTATTATTTTTCTTTTACTAATTTGTTATATTACACCGTTTGAATAGGAAAATATTTAATACATAAAATCTAATTGATATCGAATTCCTAAATATTAGGAAATTATTAAATGACTATTCATATTTCTAATATTACAGTAACTAAATGACTATTTTGTCTAGTGTGAAATCTATTTCTAAAGGGTAAAAAAGGCGAACAACATTTCGCTAAGGACTTTCGTGCTTTTATATATATATATATATATATATATATACTAGTTTTAGTGTACATGCATTGCGCGTGTTTCCCATCTCAATTTGTTTAGATTACTAGGCAGATATGGAAAAGGGGTTCCCGAGCAACTCCTTAGATCAGCTAACATCAAACATCTATTGGCATTCAATGGACATCCTTAGACAAAAACCAGATTAACCGGGGAAAAAACAGAGTAATGTGTACAATCTCGTGGTCAATTAAACGAAAATTCGACATTTTTGAGACAAACTAAAAGAGAATGATTAAGAATTCCAAAAAAAAACATGTCATTTGGAAGAGAAATTGTATACAAGGATATTAACAGGTCCAAGAAGCAGATCTTTTCATTGTAGGCTTCATCTGTTTATCTTCTTCAAGTGCTATCTGCCCAAATGATAGCAGCTATCATGCCCAAATGAGATGGATCTTCTAACATCATATATTTATTCCTCCAATCCCAAGTTAGGCTTGTGGAGTTTATTTTGGCATGGCCCTCTTCGATCACTGGCCTGTTGGACTTTAAGCCATTGGGCTTTAAAGTAGAAGAAGTGTGAATTGGAAATGGAGGGAAATTGAAAATTTGAAGAAGTAAACTTTTGTCTTGCACTTTGTCCCTCATTGGTGAGGGACAACCACATTTGTGTGCTTATATATAGAATCACTTCTTAAAGCTCTTAAAAGGAGTTGAAGAGAATGAACCCTCGCGCCGTCGTCGTCGCTCGGCTCGGCTTCGGATTTGGATTTGGATTTGGATTTGTCAAATGATAGATCGATAATAAAGTTTTAGGACAAAATTTATTTAATTATTTAATAATTAATTAAATGCCAAATCACTGCTGAAAATACGCCAAAGGTTCAGAGGGCCTCTCTGGCCGCGGTTCTGCCAGAACCGCGGCAGGCAGGTTCAGAAAGCCCCTCTGACCGCGGTTCTGCCACGACCGCGGTAGAACCGCGGCATGCAGCGTATTCTTCTGAAAAGGCACCTTTTCCAGACACCTCTTCTGATAATTGCCTATAAATTCTGAGGCAAGGCTCCATTTTCTACACACGAAAAACACTCCAGAACTTCTTTCTTTCTGAATATACTGCATCCTAATTCGCAGTCTCTCTCTCTCAAATTCGTAAGTGTGATTTTGCTCCGTACTTTGAGTTCGTTGGTATCCTGCAGTTTGTATTGCCACTGTTGCAGGAAGGTTTATTCCGTTTTATCCTGGGAGGATTTAATCCATTACCTTGGCAACGTGTGAGGGGGTTAAAATTCCTTAAGGACACACAAGCAAATTGTGGACTCGGAATATTTCTTAAACTCTACTAATTTCCAGATTTCTTTAATTCTTCTAACAGTTTTGTTTTCCTGATTTTGTGTTTTAACACAGTAGCGCTTACAAGCTTAAGGAATTTTACGTACTAATGTTTCTGTGTTGAAACATATATTAAACTGTTATTCATATTTTGTATACTGTTTTGGAGACTAAAGCCTTGTTGCTTTCTACTCCATAATTCTTTCTGTCCGGTTTAAAGTACATAAAAACTTTGCCGGAATAATAAACGTATATGTTTGAAGTATATAAAAACTTCACCATTGTTACGTGTTGTATGTTTGGTTTGATATTCAGTTTGAAGATATCAAAACTTCACTGATTTAACAAAGTTCTGTATTGTTTTCAACTTTACAGAAATATGACGAATGAAAACCAAACTAATGGAAGTGTTGCGGGAACGGGTGCTACTATTACGAGTGCTGCTGCCTCGTCAAGCCGTTCTACTCCTGCTCATGCTATGGCACCGGCAGAAAAACCTGGAAAGTTTTCCGGTATTGACTTCAAACGCTGGCAAATGAAGATGCTCTTCTATCTTACTACGTTGAGTTTGCAACGTTTCATCAAGGAGGATCCTCCGATCATGGCTGAAAATACTCCGGATGATGAACGACTTGTTGTAACTGAAGCATGGAAACATTCTGATTTCCTGTGCAAAAATTACATTTTGAGTTGTTTGGAAGATGGCTTGTACAATGTCTATAGTGTCATGGAAACTTCAAAAGCGTTATGGAATGCGCTTGAGAAGAAGTACAAGACTGAGGATGCCGGACTTAAGAAATTCGTGGCTGCAAGGTTCTTGGATTTCAAGATGATTGACACTAGGTCGGTCATAACTCAAGTCCAAGAACTACAAGTCATTGTACATGACCTCCTTGCTGAAGGTATGGTCATAAATGAGGCCTTTCAAGTCGCTGCTTTCATTGAGAAGTTACCACCGCTGTGGAAGGATTTTAAGAACTATCTTAAACACAAACGGAAGGAAATGACACTAGAAGACTTGATTGTTCGTTTGAGGATAGAATAGGACAACAAAAATGCTGAAAAGAAGTCACGTGGACACTCGACAATAATGGGGGCAAACATTGTTGAGGAGGCACCACAAAATAAGAAGAGGAAGAAAGCTTCTGGACCAAAGAATTACCCAAGTAAGAAGAAGTTCAAGGGTAATTGCCACAACTGTGGAAAATCTGGGCATAAGGCAGTGGATTGTCGTGCGCCAAAGAATGATAAGAAGAAAAAGAATCAAGCCAACATGGTTGAAGATGAAATGGAAGACTTGTGTGCCATGTTGTCTGAATGCAACTTGGTAGGAAATCCGAAAGAATGGTGGATAGATTCTGGAGCCACCCGCCATGTTTGTGCTAACAAGGAGTTATTTTCTTCTTATGCCCCCGCAGGTCCCGACGAGACAATCTTCATGGGAAATTCATCTACGGCCAAAATTGAAGGAGTTGGTAAGATTGCGTTGAAGAT